CCGTGCGGTGTACGAACTAGTTTTATTAAGGTAATTACCTAAATATGAATGATTGGAAGAACGAAAAATGAATATCTATTAATATATAATAAGGATTAACATAATTCACTTTTAGAAACTCTTTTCCACCAATTTCATTAATTATTGCATAAAAATAGTAAATTAACAAATTCGCTATTAATTAGCATATCTGTTTTTCTGATTTTTTGTTTTTTAGGAATACAATAACAAACTATTTTACTGGTAGTCAATATTGAATCAAAATCCAAATAAATCTCCTCTTTTTGTTGCTGCATATAAATCTCCTCTTTTCAATGCCCCATATCCTGCCTTAATTAAGGAGTCTGCAAAAAANNAAAAAAAAAAAAAAAAAAAAAAAGATTCAGCTAAATCAATTCATCAACTAGTTAAATAATATAATAATACATTTGGGAGATTCATTAAAGTAGGACTCATGTTAATCAATTTATCAACTAATTCTTTTTTCGTTTCACGCAAGAAAATCTTATACCATTCGACTTTTATTCCCTTTCCATAATTTTTTTTATTAAAATACAATCACAAAGATCATATTAATATAAATTAATATAAATTAATTGATTCCTATATATATAGATAACATATTTTATCAATTTCTCCAATTCCTTCACATAAACAAAACGAAAAAAGAACTTTCGCAATATAGAAAAAAAAATGACACCGTTATTTGATACACTCCCTGCAGTAACAAGCTACAATTTCGCACTCATATTGTATCTATAAGGTAAACATGTGTATATATGTGTGTGTTGAAATTTTTTTTAGATGTGGTTCACATATAAAATAATTTAGAAAATTTTAGGTGACCTCATATTTTTTAAGAATAATATAGAACATTTTAGATAATCTTACATATGTTATATAACAATATATGTGTTTTTAATATTTTAAACATACATGTTTATTGTTATTTTGATAGATAGAAAAAACTATAAAAATATTAGTGAATATTATTTAGCTAATCAATTATAATCGATATTAAAATGATAAACTAATCAAATTTAATGGTCTTTCAATTGATTTCTATAACTAGATTCTTTTTATTTGCTTTGTGGTATAAATATGTAAATATTGATTTGCTTTTCATTATAACCAATAATAGAAATATTGGTTAATATAAAGATTCATTTAATTGTATAATAACTGACGACCAATTTATATTGATTCTTTCAATTATTTTTGGTATATATAAATAAAAATAGAAATGGGTTATTTGATTTTAAAAAAAAAATATCAATAGTAATAATTTGGTAATTATTAATAAATATTTAGTGCGAATAATTTATGTACATACGTACATTTTTTTATTTTAGTTAATGTGAAATCAATAATTTATCTAAATCTATTGATTAAAATTTTCATACTTTTTCAATCAATTATTTTCCTATCGTTCTGGAAAAAAAAAATAATAAAAATAAATCAATTATTTTATTTCTACCTAATTTATTTTTATTTTTATTTTTATTGACATGATAATCAACAATTTAAAATTAAACTTATCAAAAATTTACAATAAATTATTCCGCTTTTTCCTAAGCTATAATTTTATTTCATTTGTAAAATATAAATTACCAGATATATATATAATTATAGGTTAATCACTGAAATGATAACTACACATATATATATTTATATTAAATTGTACATATTTCTTATAACACTTAGATTAAGAAATTTCAAACTATGATTTATTTTCCGTTTAGTTTTCATATCGTTAAATGTTTTTTTTACTTCCATCTCTTTTGTAAAAACTATGAAACATTTTTGTATATTATTCAGTTTGTATATATAATATTAAATCAAACTTTGTTTTACAAGCTTCAACTTCGCACACATATTGTATATATAAGTTAAACATGTTGTGTATATATATGTGTGTGTTGGACTTTTTTTAGACATGTTGTACATATAAAATAATTTAGAACAATTTAGGTGAGCTCACATTTTTTAAAATAATATAAAATATTTTAGATAATATGAAATATGTTATATAACACATTAGGTGTTTTAATATTTTAAACATACATATTTAATGTTCTTTAAACAAGATAAAAAAACCTATAAAAATATTAGTGAATATTATTTAGATAATCAAGTAGAATCGATATAAAATGATAAACTAATAACTCATTTGACGAACTGCCATATAAGTTATCATTTTATAAATAGATCCATCTTAGGCTTCTATTTACGTTCCAGCGGCACCAGTTCCTTTAGACTTTTAGGGTTCCATTTAACAGTCAATGAAGTATAATGATATTAAAATGATAAACTAACAGTTAATTTGTCTGACTGTCTAAGTAAATTATCATATTATAAATAGATCAATCTAAGGATTCCATTTAAGCTCCATCAGCACCAATTCCTTCTAATGTTAGCGTTCCATTTAAGAGTTAGGATTATTCTTTATGTGCGTTGGCATGTTCTTAAAGAACTCGGTTCTTAGTCACTACCAATTATATGTTGTTGTTTCATGTGTACGTAATAGATAAAAGTCGTGTATTGGCATGTCCTTAAAAAAATCGGTTTTCGGCCACAACCAATTATCTGTTATTGTTACGCGTGTATGTAATAGACCTTTATTTTATGTTGGCATGTTCTTAAACAAATCGATTTTTAGTCACAGACAATTATGTTGTTTGTTTCGCGTGTAAGTAATAGAAAATGGTTGAAAATATTAGTTTGTGGGGACGACAAGTTGCTTAGTTATCAATTAGTTATCAAACAAATATTGTTGTGTATAATGAAGTTTTTAATAATATATTTTTTTTTTTCATGAGGAACATTTTATTATTTGACAATTTCTCTGTGAATTATCACTCTTTTAAATTTAATATTTCCCAAAAATAAATACAGCCCGTACATCGCACGGGTTACATACTAGTATGGAATAAAACAAAATGTAACATATATATTATTAATGATAAACACGTCATTGTACACAACATTATTTATTTGGTCTTTTGGTACGTCGTCTATCGCCACAAATTATATTAGGATTCTAGAGAGACTTAAATAAATCAATTAAATTATTTAGCAGGATATATATGATATGATTTATGTTGCTTTTATGAAGATTGCATAGCCAAATATAATGAAGATTGTAAAACGTCTTTCTTGATAATCTATAGTCTTATTATTTTAAAATTGTAAATTGCTTAACTTAAGGAAGGGAAAAATTGTATGTGTATGTCATCAATTTTAAAATTGTATTCTAGAGGATTAAACAAAATCCAAATTTTTAGGATGTTCCAATCCGATTTCATTTTGAATTTCGAATTAATATTATCTGACTCTGTTATATATTTACAAAAAATCCTAACTAAACAAAGTAGTAGTCAAATGATAAAAAATAATTAAATTTTAATTTTCAATTTGAAATTTGGTTGCAGTTAGGTAAATATACATGTTATAGTATTTTGCCAAATTCAAAATATTTGATTTTAATAAAAAATAAGAGAATTTTGACTTTTACAAAATTGTCACGCTGAATTTGGCCTAAATTAACCCAATTTTTTTAATAAACAATTGATCTGTTGCGATTAGAAAAAGATATATGTGATAGTGTTTTGTCTAATTCGAAATTCTCGATTTTATGGTAGTTAGTTTTTATTTTTTAATGAAAAATATGAAAAAGAATTTTGACTTTTGCAAAATTGTACGCATCACTCAAAATTTAACTAAATTAAATAAAAAAAAAAACGTATGAATTTAGGGTGCATATATTGGTGATCTATTTTTTGGGAATAACTTAAAAAGAAAGTAAAAAAAAACTATCAAAAATAAAATACAATAAATACTAGTTGACTTTTTTTTTATTATTATTTTTGATAAATAGGTTATCTCTTTATATATATATAGATTATAATTTATTTTACTTCATAAAAAAAAGAACATTGCATTTAATGTCAGACTATGTATACGTAAATAAAAATAATTAAATAGTAGGGGTTATTGAATTAACCCGCTCCCACTATCAGTCGTCGTTTGTGCTCATGTACTATTATTGAGTGTATTTTTAGCAGAGTACAGAACAAAAATCCCGACCTTGGACACGAACGATTCAGAGCTAGATTCACTGATTAGTCCCAAACACACACACACACACTAAAAAACGAAAAATATAAATAAAATCCTAGACATTCTAATCACGACTAAGTTTGTTCGAACGAGTTTAAGCAAAATTAAATAAGCGAATTAAAAGACAATTCATTAAAGATTCCACCATAGTTACCACCGAGCCTCCAAAACATGAACAAGTAAAATCAACTAATCAAAATGAAAGTACTAGCGTAAAAAGTAGCCAAACATGAACACTTTAATTTCTCAATAACCGGGCTTCCAGCAAAGTCCCAACCTTTAATTTGAAATGCATGAAGAAATTAACTAACTAATTACTCTATTTCACCACTTTAAACTAAAAGATAAATTAAGTAGTGCCCCATAAATATAAAGGGCAATGGTTTTTATATTTTCAACAGGTACATTCACTAGAAAAAATGCACAATGAATGAGCTGAACGGATCGGGCTGCAAAACTCGCGAGCCACACAAGGGCTTATAAGCAACTCACGGGCAAACGTGAGCATTGGCAAGGGCGCGAATCAACAAGCAACATGGACGAGCAGCTTGCCAGGTGAGAGCGCTCGCCGAGGGCGTGAGTCGATGAGGAAATTGACGACGCGGGCAAGCAGCTTGCGGGGATGGTGAGAACACTCACCGAGGGAGCAAGTTTACGATGCTACTAAAGACACGAGAGAGCAATGTAGGCGAGTTGTTCGCGGGGCTGGCGAGAACATTCGCCGAGGGCGCGAGTCGATAAGGCTGCTGGCGACAAGTCGAGAAACTCGGGGGGCTAACAAAATGCTTGCCGATGGTGCGAGCCTGCGATGTTGGTGACCGTTCGCAAGCTCCGACGGAAGAACTCGCGAGGCGGGTGAATTTCCTTCTAGGCCACGAGTGATGGACTGTACGAGGTCATTGTCGAGCCTACGGGGAAGAGTTGACGAGCGTCACCGAGAACAATACAAGGGAAATGTTAGCTGGACAGGTGTAGGCAAACTCGAAGCACGAGCTGAGGCTCTGGGTGCCTAAGACGCGAGCTTTGGGGTGCACGTGAGTGTCAATTCGTAAGCTGCGAGTTCAGCACCTGTCTTCTGGGGTACTGAGTTCGGCGCCTGTCTTGTGGGGTACTGTGTTCAACTCGAGTTCATCGACCGCTCAGTTCGCTCTGTAATCTCGCACACTTATCCGATTGGTATAAAGTCTCAGCTTAGGATTAATAAATTCCTTACTTCCCGACTTGGAGGGCACAAACAAAATTTCTTCTCACTCGTTTTGGGCTGAAAATGGTGGCTCGGGTCGTCGACACCGCTAAAATTAATTTCTTCTTTCTTCTAGATCTACAAAAAAACACCAAAACATACAAGAAAAACTGAGAATACACTAACATGTCTAAGAAATTGAAAAGAACTAAAAGGAAACAAAAATGGAGTGGGGAACGCAATTAAGAGTCGAAAATTGGCTCGACTCACAACATTAAAAACACGAAAATAAGCACAAAACATAAAAAACATGTTACCACTGGTAGATTTCAACAAATCATTTATCGATTTGAAGCTCTCCACTCAGTCTTTCCAACGACATATATAATTTCATCATACGATACCTCAAACTTTGTAAACCACTGTTAAATAAAACTAATGAATTGGACATTTATGTAAGAAAACTATTTCATAAGGAATCCAACCGTTAGATTTCTGTGAAATATATATGTATAAGAAAGTTCTTTCATAAGGAATCCACTGATATCTCCCGATCATCAAGCGAACCTTACAACAGCCAGAGAAACGCTTGTAAAATTTCCTGATTTCCGACGGCTCACGGCGACGAGACGAATACTTCAACCGACAATTTATGTAGTATAGATTATCCGAATTTAATGGTTGTGCTATATCATTTTGTTCCTCTTTTCATGAGAAATGATACCACTTAATTAATTTGATGTTTTGAATTCATATGATTCACTTTGAAGTTCCATTTTTTGCATAGTGTTTTTCCCCCCAAGTTTTCTACTATTTTTTCGGTGGCAGCATTGTCTTTAAACAGTGGTTCTACGACAGATCTTTTAAATGTATTTGTTTTCAGCATATTGAGTGTCTGTCAAATTAATTGCTGCTGAGTATCAACTCTCATGAACTTTTAGAACTCGTGAGTACAAAGACTGATTGAGCCAGACAAGTTGAGGCATTGACAAGAAATTTCTGGTAATTTTCTTGTGTCGCCTTTTGTACAGGCAGTGACTATAAACTCAAACGCATGGACAAATGCGGGTCATGCTGTAAACCAAGTGTACGACCTTCTTTACATGATGGGACGGGATGATGTTGCCGTAGGTGTTGGAGGTGAAGGCAGTATACTTGAAGATGGTACCATTTTGCCAAATGTTGGCGGCTACCTTCCGATAATCGAGCAGGTTGCATTAGTCAACATAGTTTTTATTCGAATCCCGAATTTCGCCGTTTAATAGTGGGAATAACATAATATTGGTCATTTTTGGTTGTGGCTCATTTGAGCAGGGCAATGGTACAGCAGGATATTGCAGATATAGACAAGCTATTCCTGTAGGATTTGGAGGACGATTAGACATCGACACGAATTATGGCTTCCGGAGAAGTTTTCTTCCTCAGGTACATATGCGTTTAGCGAATCGTGTGAGGAGCATATGTTTTGTGTTTTTACTGTAATAATCAGCAATCAAATGTTTCTTGCAGTAAAGCTTAATGACATTGTTTCGTTTAAGTTGTACCATCATCATATTGTAGAAGTTGCTTATAGTTAGATGTTCTGAAACCCTTTTGTCTGCTCTTGATATTATATCTAAGGATCTTTTTCAAATACTGGAAAATTTGTCATTGCCAGCTTTTAGAATATAACTCGACCTTTTGATATTTGAAAACATTGGCTTTAACTTTCAACTCTTACCATTCGTGTTGCGTAAACATCCCAGAATTGATCTTTTATTACCGAATTCTCAAATAATTATTGGTAAATTTTATCACTGAATTAACTAGGGAAACAGGGGATACTCACCTGCACGTCAGCCAACAGCTCAGCAAGTGATGGTAGACAAAATAACCGCAGGTCCCATCACGGTATTTATCATAGGGGCAAGTACGAATTTCGCGATTTTTCTAATGACCAATCCCGAGTTGAAGAAAAACATCAAGCACATTTACATCATGGGTGGTGGTGTGAGATCCAAAAACCCCACGGGTTGCTGTCCAAAGAACTCGAGATCATTTTGCCAGCCTCGGCAATGTGGGGACAGGGGCAATCTATTCACTGACTACACTTCAAATCCTTATGCTGAGTTCAACATGTTTGGAGACCCTTTTGCTGCTTATCAAGTAAATGGCATTTGTTGTTAATATTTATTATGATAAAGTCGAGGGAAAAAAAAAAAATTCAACTGTCTATAGACTAAATGAATTTTCCTTTTCTTGTTAAACAACTAGCAACCTGAACTTTTAAGGTTCTTTCACTTTACAACATACTGCCAACCGAATATGGGCTTGTTCTTTTGTGATTATGCTTGACATTTTTAAGAAGTCGTGGTTTCTTTTTCCATGTGTAATTTGTTTTCATCGTGAATGTACATAACATTCTTGAAACAGGTGATTCATTCTGGAATCCCAGTTACTCTTGTTCCACTGGACGCCACAAACACTATTCCGATCACAAGCGAATTTTACGAGGAATTCGAGAAGAATCAGCGCACATACGAGGCGCAATACTGCTTCAGGTCCTTGAAAATCGCTCGAGATACGTGGTTCGATGATCAGTTTTTCATGGTAATTAAGTCCGAAAACCAGTCACTACTTACATGAAGAGCTTGATGATACTCGTGTGTGCAAATGAAAATTAAAAAGAAAAAAAGTTGTATTAACTCTATGAACTTTGTCTCAGAAGCGCCTTTGTAAACACTTTGAAAAGTGACAAACTGGAAAATATTAACTATATTTATGAATTGCACTAATTATGCTTTTGGTATGAATTTTACAAACACATAAAGCTCTTTCTAGAATTTCTAATCAATCACTCTCTCATAGTGCAGAGTTACTTCATGTGGGACTCATTTTTATCTGGGGTCGCCACTTCGATCATGCTAAAGGAAAACAATTCAAATGGGGAGAACGAATTTGCCGAGATGGAGCACATGAATATCACAGTTGTTACTTCAAACGAGCCGTATGGGATATCTGATGGCTCAAATCCGTTCTTTGATGGCCTTAAGAAACCAAAGTTCAACTTGAAGAAAAATGGTGTCCATAGTGGCCACGTGTATGCTAGACTTAGAGATCCCTTTTGTATCACCAAGAATGGGAAGGGCAGGTGCAAGGTTATTGCCATCTTTTTATGTCATGTAATGCTAATCTTCATTCAGTATATATCCGGCAGATCATGTTTTATTGACATTGAGTTGAACTTATTTAGGATGGATATACACAAGAAGTAACTGGTCGAGAAGGGGTGCATGTTCTTGTTGCGGTCAAAGCAAAGCCTAACCGTGAGAAGAGCAGTTCATTAAACAGAGAGTTCTTCAGAAGCTTTCTTGATGTGGGTAAACATTTTGAATGATAATAAGAATGTTATTTTGATATAAGTTATTTTACATCCTTAAAATATATTGTAATGGTCTCAGGTTCTAAACCGCGAAAAGCAAACAGGAAAGTTCAATTTTACGACACAATTTCCTCATTACCATGAAGTCATCTACAAGCCCGATTTTAGTGGAAGACGGCTTGGAAAGAGTGTCGTTTTTGATATGGATATGAGTGCGGGGGATTTTTTAGCCCTCCTTTATCTCCTCAAAGTACCTGTCGAATTAGTAAATCTTAAGGTAAAAAAGCAGCTCTGCAAATTCCAAATTTTTACGACACAGTAACGATTTTGTTGTATTTGTTCGATAAATTTACGATTCGTAACTTCTTATTTATGTCTAAGACATACTAGTTTGCGCTATCTAACCTCAATGGCCTGTTTTTATCTCAGGCAATATTAGTGACCCCAACTGGATGGGCAAACGCGGCAACAATTGACATAGTTTATGATTTGCTGCATATGATGGGGCGTGATGACATCCCAGTTGGTCTTGGGGGTTTCTTTGCACTCAACCAGTCTAATCCTAATTTTCCTCCTACTGGTGACTGCAAGTACAATAAGGCCATCCCACATGGCGCGGGTGGATTTCTCGACTCGGACACATTGTATGGGCTCGCACGTGATTTGCCTCGAAGCCCTCGGAGGTTCTTTTTCTTTATTTTTTCCCAGTTGTAAAATTAAGTCCTTTTGACGCTTTGGATGGTTGGAAAGCATACCGTAGAAAATGATTTTTATCTTGTTTTCAGAAGTTGCTTACTTTATTGGCTAGTTTCATCATAATTTGAATTTCCGATGCCTTTTTACTCCATAATTTGACTTGTTAGTTTTGTTGTAGATACACAGCAGAGAACTCTATGAAATTTGGAGCTCCTCGAGACACTGATCATCCAGAACTCAGACAGCCTCTGGCTCTTGAAGTATGGCAATCGGTTATAAAATCGCTCGACTCAGGATCAGGCATTACTATCTTGACAAATGGGCCATTGACAACTGTTGCGCAAATTATTCTTTCGGATAAAAAATTATCATCTATTCAGGTGCCGAAACGTGTTCAAACAACGATTAGATTTATGATTGAAACAGAATTTGGTGTTTCCTTAAGTTATTTCTTATTTATTTATTTACTTTTTTTGCTTGTGTTTTTGTTTTTACTGGTGTAGGATATTATTGTAGTTGGAGGACATATTGGCAAGCAGAAAAAGGATAAAGGCAATGCAATTAATATTCCTACGAACAGATATGCGGAGCTCAACATGTTTCTTGATCCTTTGGCTGCAAAGACAGTTTTCAGTTCAGGCCACAATGTTACCTTAATCCCACTGAATGTTCAACGTAAAGTCTGTGGATTCCGTAAAGCCTTAGCGAGTCTTTACCGTGTGAACAAAACACCAGAAGCTTTATTCGCCAGGCGTTTGCTGTCAACGTTGCATCAATTAAAAGAGGCTCACCGTAGCTATCAGCATATGGTATATAAAATAATCACGGGCCGCAACATAAGCTTCATCTGCTGTCGATTGTGAAAAAAATTCAGTCTTTTTGTTTACTTTACCTCTGCCTCGATATACATCGTGTGTATTAAAATTTTCTACATTTGCTTTTTTATCCAGGATATCTTTTTGGGAGAGATTCTCGGTGCAGTGATCGTAGGTGGTGGTAACGCATTACTAAATACAAGCTACGCACTGAAGAATATTGAGGTCTTAGCAACAGGTATCGAGTCTGAAGACGGACGGGTAATTATTGGTCGAAATATAGGTACTTCAGTTAAAGTACTAGAGAATGTGTATCCTCAGGCCTATTATGACACTTTTGCAAATAGACTTGGATGCATAAACCAATCGGCTGTAATAGGAAGCTTCGACGAACAACGAAGAAAATGGAGCGCTCCACATAAATGAAATGAGAATTACAAAAGAACTATATTTTCTGCATGGAGTTTCTCTTACTCACTCTATGGATTCATTGTGGTTTATTTTTTTCAGTGATTTTTTTCAGTGATTTTTAAAGAAACGTATGTTGTTTTTTTCACACACAGTTACAGAAAATATATATAGGAGGGAAGCGAATACCTTTTGACTTATATATTCAAATTGTTTTGCGTTTCATTATATCCCATCTACTATTTGTTTATCCCCTAAGTGGTCATTTACTTTGTGGGATGGGATAAATATAAGTTATCCAACTTAACTTTACATGTCAGCAATCAGTCCCTTGTTTACATTGTAGAATGGGATTTGCATATTTGTATCCC